CGCTCAAGGACTTATGCTCACGCGAGAATCAATGCTCGTCTCGATAATCGTAACGCGATTGTGACGAAAGATGGGCTCTCTCGATTAGGAATTGTTTCGCGGAATCTTTACGAGCCTCTCGATCTCTTTCTTGACACGTCGCTATTCTGGACCACGTGTCGTACAAAGCCATATAGTCCGTCTGCGCTTTCCAACCGAAATTCAAGACACGTAGAACAGGAAAGCATCTGTGCATTTACACATAGATCTGCGATGCTGCCTACAAAAAGGATGAGAGAAGGAAAATATATTCTCGCGCGCAGACAAGATGCATTTATCCCGCAGCAGAAAACAATTTAAAATGTATTATATGCTATTATTAGAACGGCAACTAGTCTTTTGTAAAATACCGAACTAAATTTAAATTAAAATTACATATGAATGTCTAAGGATAAAAATACATAAAAAATACTTTATAATTAATAGAATAAATAAAATCTATGCGGAAATCGATTTGAAACTTTTAGCACTTATCGCGCACTGAAATTTTCATCTCGAGTAGATCTTCCGATTCTGTTTATAGCAATCCTATGTGCTAGTTCGGTTAATATCTGTGAAATGAGCACGTGTGTATTCATAAGAAAGATTGGAATGTTCAGACCATGATTAAACAAACGTAAAGTGGAGAACGCAATTCGTATATATTTATTTACTTTATACGGATAAACACAGCTTTTTTATTTATTTACGTCAAACACTCAGTAAAGTTACATGCGCGCATTGAATAAATCAGCAGAATAAACTGTTCGACAAGGCAGGTTGAATTATTATTAATGCAGTTCGTTTCTTCGAAACGTTATACGATGAAAAGCTTGGCGACACACTCGGGACGGAGAAATATCTCGCCGATCGGTCAATGCAATCGAGAGGCGGTCTTTACGTGGAGTCGTATCACTGAAAAGTTGCGCTATATAAAAACAAAGCAATTTATCATTGCTCGTATCTATAAAAATGGTAAAATCCAATAAAATTTAAAATGTTATTTATAAAAATAAGATTTTTATAAATACACATCAAACTTTAAAAAAACGATATTTTATTTGTGACGTATCATATCTTTTATTATATTTACATTAATGAAATTAATACTTAATATTACACAACGGCTTCTTTCGTTATATTTATTTTCAATAAGAGCCATCATATATGTATAAAAAATTTATTATATTATATTGTAAGAAATTTTATTTAAAGCATATATATGTTAGATAAATTTATCACGTCATTTTCAGCGAACTTGAGCAAACATTAAATAAAGATAACAATTGCTCGATACGTATAGTTGGATAAGACAATTGACAAGGCCAACATTATCTCAATTAAGTCAGCGCAAAATTGCACTTTCTCAATAATTCGTGGCAACTCTCTAAGCAACTGCTGGTAAACTATATTTCCTGTCTTGATCGTAACTTTCGGGTCGGAAGATAGTTTGCGAGGGAGGAAAGGGAGCCGATAACAAAATAATCTCGACACACCGCAATCATCTACGATGACTTAGTACCTCTGGATTCTCTCCCCGACTTTCAGAAACTCGACCATCGCGCTTAGTTCACTTCGCAGTCCCATGTAGCCGATACCTCGACCCTCGACAGTCGACGGAACTCTATCGATAGATATCTATATCTGTGCTATAACGATCTAACATTCGCTGATAAGTTTCTCCAGCTTAGAAACGTTGTTAGGTTATCCCATTTCAGTATAGAATTGGCGATCGTTATGTGAAATGTTCATAATTCGATGATGGACATAATCCCTTAGAATTGTTATTTTTCTCTAAAGTTGTTCTTTTACCAGAGCTGTTTCCTTGGAAATTGCATAAGTTTTAAATTAAAAAAAAAACTCGTCTTTTTATTATGTCCCATTAATCGATACTATACGAGATACAAAATATAAATTAAAAGAAAGCACAGATACGCAAATATCTAGATAGTAAATTTTTTATTTTTATCTAAATTATGAATAGGATAATAATCAAAAAAGAAATAACGAGAATCACTATTAGCCAGTTAAAGCCGGATTATTGATATGTCGCAGTCTTTGAGCTTAGAGGATCGAAATAAGAGCCTGCCGCGTAATGGTGCGATAATCTGATCCGATTTAGCGAGTGCTTCGCGACTCAAATTATTCTTGTATTCGGATTAAAGTTGTGGAAATATCATTTTCATTTATGCCTCGATACCGCGAAAATATCACTTTTATTATTTATTTTCTCCTCAATTATTGATCAAACAGTTTTCGGAGAAATTATCAGATTTGCTACGGTCCAATACGTAAGATCTCTGTCTGCCTCTTACTTACGATATCGTAATTGCACTCGTAAAACACATACACACACGTATACACGACACAGAAATAAATTTAAAAAAAAAAAAAGAAAAAAAGAGGGCTTGGTATCGAATCGGAAGTACAAAGTAAGCTCGACCGCCGCAGCGCCCAGAACCACTAATGTGCTCGCTCGCAGCGCGGACGGCAACTTCGAGGTGACCTTGGCCACGAAGGCCACGATCTACCATCAAGGATTGGTCGAGTGGAAGCCGCCCGCCATATATAAATCATCGTGCGAGATCGACGTGGAGTACTTCCCATTCGACGAGCAGACCTGCGTCCTCAAGTTCGGTTCGTGGACCTATGACGGCTTTAAGGTAAATTCGCATGGTAGCCGTTAAGTCGCGACCCCCATGACCTACCATCCACCACTACCCTAACCCTCAACCCCTCATGCCCCGAACAACCTATCGAGCCCCCGAATGCCCGAGACGCGGATCCGTCACGGCCTCGTGCGGGATGCGTCTCCGGGATGGCAATCAGCTGGTAGATCTTAAGCGTAGATTAGATCACAAACGATCGGCTCGCCGCGTAGGTCTCCAATCGATCGAGAGGGAGAACCAGAGAAATGCCGGGAATCTCACCCCAAAAGACGGATGCTGCCACATAGTCCCCGACGTAACGTTGTCGCGCGGACAGTGAATTGTCATACTAGAACAATGATAGATCGAGACGAAAAGTATCGCGATTTTATATATATATATAAAATCGAGTATTCTTCCAAAACAATAAAGAGATCAACGTTATTATTCATTCTGATTAAAATCTTGCCTCAAAAGAAACGTCGTGTGATTTTCAGTTTTATTAAAAGCATAATTATAGTATATAATTGTCATTATTATAATTGTCGAGATAAAAAAGATCTGTATAAATTTTTGAAACTATCGGATTTTCGCGAGTCGTTCAAGGTATCGGTTTTTGGCGGATGTACCATGATAACCGTGTGAATGCGTCCGTCGATATACATGAAACCGCTCAAATGAAGAAGAATGAGATAGAGATAGAGAGAGAGAGAGAGAGAGAGAGAGGCGGCAGCATCCGGAGACCTTCTCTCCGAGCCCATCGTGATCACGCTCGGCTCGTTTCTTCGGTGATTCCAGCGCCGATGGGAACTACGAGGTGACACTGATGACTAAGGCCACGGTCTACTATTCGGGATTGGTCGTGTGGCAACCGCCAGCTGTATATAAATCTTCCTGCTCCATCGACGTTGAGTTCTTTCCGTACGACGTACAGACCTGTGTTTTGAAGTTAGGCTCCTGGACCTATGACGGCTTTAAGGTGTCGTGCCGCACTACCACAACGCAACGAGCACGAGAAACGCAGTCGCCAAGCATTTAGTCTCGAGAATATTTGCTCATCATCGGTCTACTCTAACGTTATCCTTTAGCTCGTTTTTCATTTTGTGTTCTCATTGTCAAAGAATGCCTTCCTCGACACCCGTAATCGTTCCTGCGATGCGCTAGTCTTGGACGTCACGTGATACATATATTTACGTATATTTATATTATATATTCATCCGTCTATTTCTACGCATGTATACAGGGTGCGCCGGATACTCCGCACTTCCCGATCATTGGATTTCTTTACCAATTTTTCAAGTCGATCTATATGTTCTTTTAATTTGTTTAGCTTTTAAATTTCAAACTGAAACTCTTGAGACTGAACGAAGAATAAATGCTTTTGTTACTTATTTGCACGATGCATGATAATTCGTACGTTTTCGATAATTAAAAATTCATTAACGATGTTTCGATTTATATCTTTGAGGAGATCAACTCCAAATTGGTCGAGAAATTCGTAAATAAAAGAAGAATATACGGGGCACCCTATAGATATACATACGTACGTATATTTGGATATTGTTACGTGGTGTGGACTGCAGTGTTATTTTATCGACCATCATTCTCCATCGTGATACGACGCGCGGTCGGCTCGTTCTCATATCGTTCTACGATGCGTCCGAGAAATCGGACGAGCTCGCGAGCTACCTAGACGCATCCGTCAATGCGGCTCGTGTTTGCTGTCTAGGCGAGGATCGACGAGCTTATCCGGTGTCCACGATGTCAGACTGTAATGGAGTGCGCGTACAAACGATTCGAGAGATTTACCGTTGCATGTCGGATGGAATCGCCGCGTCGACGTTTGTTAAGCGGTATATCCTGTTGCACTGCGGATTAATTTCGATGATCGGAAAAAGACGCGATAATCGTAGCAAATGACATGAAAATAGTCGATCGTGTTTCCAATGAGAGCAAACATCGCGTATTGATTAAGTTTTATTCTCCGATGACATTTTTCAGAGAATCGGTTTCATTCAACTTCTCATTTTCTAGCGATTTTCTTTTGGTTAAATTTTGACAAGTTTGCGAATCCATATGTGTCATAAATATATCAATTTCATAAATATATAAAAAATTTGTGCAGTATAAAAATCCGCGAGTAATTTATCATGTTTGCCATGCGAATAAGATATTGTAAAAATTACATTGCACATAAAAGAGATGTAATAATCTCTTTGATCCTCGCTTCGACAAGTAAACAAAAAGAGCTATACGTCGAAGGATGTCTCGGTCACGATCCACGCCGAAGAGAGCGAATATTCGCTTCCGGTTAGTCATCTCATTTCATTCATCGATATTTATTCAGCAGCCGGATTTTTAGAGATCGTTATAAAGACGCGGTCACACGAGATTGATCGATAACGCCGGCCGTGGATTCTATAATCGTTTGTTTCTCTAGCCTGTTTTCTTTACAAGACACTACTCGATACACGTGGGAAAGGTATAAAATCTCGCGACAAGAATCTCGAAACACCATGACACACGAAACGAGAGACATGTTAGCCACATGCACCCGTGTGCCACTGCAGAGACACTCTGTTTCCTCTATGACTAATGACAGTCGCACAGATTGTCACTCTATCTACGCTCGTCCACTTATCATTGCTAAATTGACTAATATACAAAGTAAATGAAGAAGGTAGTTGCGCGCTTCCTCGTATAAATAGAAAACAATAAAATATCATAAATTATTGGCGCAATTTTTTTACAATTTTAATCTATCTTTCAACGATTATATATTGTTTATTTTAAATCGCTATATATTGAGGTTTTGTTGTTTTATATTTATCCAGGAATGCAACTTACTTTATGATGCACTCTCGTCAGCCTTCTATTCAGCTTTATTAATTCATAATAATTGTATGTTATAAAATACAGTCAAATCCGTGAAGGAAATCAACGGCACGTTTTCGCGAAAGAACGTAATTGAGAAATGAACGCGAAGTAGTGAGAAATAAAATTTATAATATTTTCTAAATCAAAATATATATGGAATAACGGATTTCTCTCCAATATCCGCTATTTAGTTTTACATTCTATTAAACAAACATTCCAAAAGCAATCTGTTATTTTATCAATTGTATAGTATAGATTCGATTCTAAATTTGACCAAACCGATCCGATGAGCGTGCAATTAAACGCATGTCGACAACGCAATTTATCCGTCTAGACTAAACCGGCGGACATGCGAGAAAAGTAGGACGATCGAGACGCGATCGATATGGTAAAGAGCCGTCAGTCGCGCAACGCGGTGCTTTTCGAATTTCTCGTTCGCAATTAAAACTCTCGTGTCCCAGCGAAAGGAATACGACCTGAGGTAAAATGTCTCTCTCTTAAAAAAGTAATTTTTATTGCATTCTACGAGAGATGTAATATTAAAAGCCACTTAGCACCAAAGCAGACTCGGTGTCTTTTGGTCAACTAAAACGCAAGCGCTAAAGTTCCTTTTCAGTCGAGATTGGCACGTTGAATTTTCTTCATATAAAAAATTTTTTCCCATGTTTCTTGTTTCAAACAGCAGTTTTAGTAATGGTTATATCGATTTTTTTCTCTTTAATGTACACATCTAAGAAACACATATTTTCATCTACAACACGTATAAATTTTTCTTATTTTCTTCTAGTCGCTCTGTACAAAGTCGATCAACACACATGTAAGATTATTTTATATCGCAACGCATACACTTGCGACTTTATCGTACTTACAAATCAAATCTTTTCAAAAAGACTATAGGTATTAATATCAACGATATCACATTATACGCATACTGATATGTAATACAGCCAACTTAGTTACATTTTACACGTATGTTTTCGTCATCAAAATATCTACGGTTTATCCATAAAATCGTACGCGCTTTCCACGGTACGTCGTTAAAACTTTTTGTCGCGAAATTTTTGCCTTTTTGCAACGGTGCATCGCTTGTTAGTCTTGCCAATAGGATTAAACAGAAAAGTGTTACATTCTGTAGGACAAATCACTACAGGTTTCTCTCACAGGACCGATAGAGCCTCGTGTAATGGATGGAAATTTTTATCTCGATAACGGCGTTTAATTTCGACTCCGGAAAACCCGTAATGTACATCTTTCTATGATTTTCTTTCAAAATTTCTCTGACGCGCAAACTATATATTTCGATCATTTAGACACTCTTGTCAAAAAATCAATTCTAGAGAAATATATATTCCACAAAGATCGCGAGAGAGAAAAAGTTTACAAGAAATATTTGTATGTACAGAATACAGCTCTATTTGCGCTCTATCAGTCCGGCGATTCCAGTCGCGCGACGCGAGATAATTTGACTTTCCGGCTCTTCTACTGGCGTTTCTCCTGTCGGCGTGTTTTATTGCGGCGATAAAGGGCGGATCGATATTCCGTTATACGTGCACGGTGGCTTCTGTGCGTTCATTCCTGTCTATATCTACGTCAACCAAACTGGCTTTCGGTCTCATCTACGGTTATCAGAGAGATGATACATAATATAAAGCTCAAGCCGTGGAATGGATATCGGATGCTTGCTCTGCGGTCGCGATCTGATACGCTGATAAATCATGACGGTTTACCTCCAATGTTCTGATCCCAGCGATACTTCGTTATCGTAACACTTTCCCGGGATGTGTGTGAAACCAGACTCTCTTTCTCGATTGACATATATTCCTGTTCGAAACGCGCAGCAATTTTATCGACGTCTTTGTTCGATAAATTAGAGACCCGGGTAATTAGCAGTGGCGTAGTATCGAACAATTTGCGCGTTGCATAAATAAAATCGTGGATACGGGGTCAGCGCGCTACTTCACCCGTGTGACCTATGAGCGAATAATTTGGGCGCTCGTTCTATAATGATGCCATTAATAGCGCACGATGCCGGGTTGGTTCGATACGCTCAATAATGATTAGAATATACGACGACGTCTCTCTGTTACATGCAAACTTTAGTTTAATTGTTAATTATAAAAATATTTAGAGCATGAGAA